CTTCCCCTACATATAGGAAAAACATGACCCCCAGTAAAATAAATAAAATGGGGCTGAGTGCCAAAATGTGTAAGAGAGTTTTAGCAGCTTTTCAGACACTCATCAGCAGGATTGGTAAATTCATCAGAAGCGAGAGGAAATTTGATTTTTTTTTTTTAATGTATTCCTCCCCATATTAAATGCAGCCCCAGAACATGTTGGAAAAAAGATGTGGCTTTCTAGCACTTCTGCTCTTTGCTGCTATTGTAGGTAGAGGAGCTGAAGCAGTGCAACCCCACAGGGCATGCCAAGTCAAAGCTGGTGAGCAGCCCAGAGGTACAATGAGAGAAGCTACTGGGGCGAGGGGGGTTGTGAGGAAGGGGATCTGTGGTGACTCCCAGGTTCCAGATCTTACTTCCCTGGGTTTGGGAATCCCAGAGGAATCGTCAGCGTGAGCCACTGTCTGTGGCTGGAACTGAAGCGCTGAGGAGAAGGACTGTCAATTCCTGAACGCCGCAGGGAACAAAGCATATTGTTTTTCATCAGAAGAAACCCAGGCATTTCGAGGCAGTTTGTGTAGGGGGGCTTGAAGGGAAGGAGTCCAGCCCGCGGGCTGCAGGCTGCTGCCCTCCTCCAAAGCATCCCCTGCACAACCCCTCGCAAACAAAGGCCAGACTGTTCAAAATGAACGGGGGCATGAGGCACAGATGTTGCACAAAGGCGAGCCACATCTGTTTTGCTGGGGAAGGGGCCCCCTTCTTACTGTTTCAGCAGGCAGATGGGAAAGCTGCTCTGAAAACTTCTGGAGCTGAGTGCAACAGGCTGGCTGGGAAACTGGGACGAGGGGAGGGGGAAAAGGGAAACCTGACGGGATCCTGCACAGCAGCGGGGGGAGTGGGGGAGCAATGGCTGCCCAAAATCGCTGCTCTCCCTCCTTGACGTCCCTGACAGCATTTCTAGGTTGTGCTGCTCTCACGTAGATGTTAGAGTTAGAGTTAGAGAAACAAGCAAACAGAGAGGAGGGAAGATGAGAAGGACCTCCATTGTCCTGTGATGGTAGCATTCAGGGCTGCTCAGACCCTCACTGTCTCCTGTGAACATGAGGTGCTGTTTTGGGTCTGCAGTGATGTGGATGGTTTGGGTGCAGGTTGATATCACTTAATATAAGGCTTTTGGTGGTGAAAAATAATGGAGATATTTGCACACGTACATGGCAGCAGACCCATGCATCTCGGTGACATGTTCTGAAAGACACCCAGCAATCTCTTAGGAGATGTGTCTCCAAGAAATAGAAGATCCAGCTAAGTTCAAGAGTCTGCAGTAAAAGCTGTGACTCTGAAATTAAGTAGAAGGATGAGGCATCTGAAAGCTTTTCGTTTGCTTACTTTAAGCAAAAGAAGTATGGCATCCTGGAAACTGTTTATTTTTCTAGAGCTTTATGTTGACTTCTGGGATTAAACTGGAGAGGTCCTGAGCTACGCTGTACACAGCGTTGGGATGAAAAGTGCCCTGTCCATCCTTCACAGAGCTGAATATTAACTTCTTGGAAGCCAAAAGATTTTCACAGTGGAAGCAAGGAGAATTACAAATCTTTCCTTTTTCTCAGTGAAAAATCAGACAACCCTGCAGGGATTTAGTCCATCCCAGGTACAGGATAAGGCATGTATCCTCTCTGGGTCCCCCCAAGCAACAGCCCTGCCCTTGACTGCCTCAGCTGCACCCCATAGTGCAGTGTTCTCCACCCAGTGGTGGCCATCCGTCTCCTCCATGGTGTCCTTTGTCTCCTGCCCCAGGGTCTCCCTAAAGATGCTGAACTGAGGCATTTGGGACGCTGGGAGCCTTGCTGCTCTTGCAGGATAGTCCTGGGGGTTTTGCAAGCCTGTGTTTTGGCTGTACTTCTTTGGTCTGTAACTCAGCTGGGACCAGCCAGTACAATGGAAATGGCACTATTAGGTACAAGTGCTGGGATTTTCTTGTTATGCAGAGCAGTTTCCAGCACTGACTGAACATTCTGTTCAAAATGGCCTTTTGGATAACAGGGTGTGTGAGAAGCGCCAGGGCAGAGAAGCACCTCCAGCATGAGGGGCCTCCCAAAACCAGAAATAGTAGGTCTGGGGAGGGAGGGTTGAGCAAGAAATGCGATGTCTCGTTCCCAAGATGCAAAAAGCTCAAGGGACTGATGAAGGGCCTGGAGTCAAAGGCACTTCAGGTTATTGCTAGAGAGAGGCTGTGGAGCTTGAGGGTTTCAAGGTTTTTATAGTTTGTTGCCCCAAGGCTTTAGCAATAACTGGGAAGAACTGTGAAGGCAACATTATTTTAGAAGTTAAAGGAAACACGTTGGCACCATCCCTTTAAAGTCAGTGCTCAGAGTGAACGATATAAACACTGTTTCATCCCTTTATGCTGCTGCTGGAGTGTTGACCTATGCTAGTGCAAAGCATGCTTGTCTTGCAGTTAGACTATAAATTATCCCCTTGAGGGAGAAGCTTTGCAGACTGTCCAAAATTTAACAAAGTACAGCATGTTTTAAAGTTTTGTCCCGGGCAATTTAACTTGGTCATTTTCTGGTTTGGTTTTGGACATGCTGGTGGGAAGGTTTGTGTGCCAGTTACAAGGACTTTGCTGACTCTGCAGGGAAGGACCCAGCACCATGTGGCGATGTGTCACGTTTCCGTCTTGCGGGCTTCAGCAGACCCAGTGTTTGCTGTGACTCCCTTGCATCTGGTCTGTGGGAGCACAGTCCCCCTTCCCTCCTCTGCCAGCACCTGGCTTGATCTTCCCAGGATCAGCAGACAGAAGCCGGGCTGCAGGGGCACCTTGAGCAGTCAGGCAGGCATCCCTGACCTGTCATCAAGCAAGGTGGCTTTCAGGGCATCTGCAGGGTGCTGAAATGCAGTGGGGTTGTGGTTCTCCCCCCTTGAAGTGCATTTTGGAGGAAAAAAAAAATGCATCCCTGGCAGAAACAACCCCAGACACAAAGCTGGTGCATGTCTGCTAGGAATTACAGACACATTGATGGATCATGAGGGCAGATGAAGGGCTGTCCATTTCTTTGCACCCCATGGCGATGTGGATGCAGGTGGGTGGTGCTGGGACCTGCTGCTGTACCCATGTGCTGGGGGAGCACAGCAGACCTGCCCTGCCAGGCAGCTGCTCTGAGCTGGGGCTACCTTTGAGGCTGGCAGTCATCATTTAATAGCTGTCTTAACAAATTCCCACTCTGCGAGCCATCTATCTTCCCCAAGCAGGATGATAAAGGAAGGCACTTAAGCACTTGAATGATGGGCAACAGACTCTGCCAAGGATTTCCTTCTGCTCAGGCTTGCCCAGAGTCACTTTGGGGGTGAAGGGGTTTTGTGTCCTTCCACATCCTCAGCACGGCCCCCAGCAGTGAGCTTAACGCATGTACCATGCCTTTAACGAGCCAAAAGACTGCTGGACAATACCAAGAAGAAGAGGCTGTTTCCCTCCCGGATCTGGTTGACCCACTCTCAGCCTTCCCGATGTGCTGGGAGCTGCTGTGAGCACCACGTGTTGGGCACAAGGCTCTGGAGACATTCCCGGACATGGGGGGCAGCCAGAGAAGGTTTCCCAGTTGCTTTTCAAGCAGTCTTTGTTAAAATCGGTCATGGCAGGCTGCATCTCCTGCTACCCAGGCAGTTTTGCAGTTCATCAGGCAGGCAGAGAGCACTGTGCTGGGAGGGTAAGTACAGCTCTGTGTGTTGCACCCCCCTGCAAAAGATACCTCACACAGTGCATATCCAGATAGATGCATAAACCTACTTTTAACCTGCTCACTGGAGACCTTTGGCAAAATCCTCTGAGCTTGGGAACCTAGGGCAGGCAAGTAGCCAGGAGGGACATGGCCATGGCTGAGCCATCCTGGCGCCCTTGGGCACCTCTTTGGGACAGTGGGATTTACTGCTGGAGGGGTCTGGCAGCACTGGTGCAGGGGTAGGAGCACTCCTTGTGATGCCAGAGAAGGGCAGGGATCCATCCCTCTTTTAAAGGCCACGTATTTCCATGGCACGTTTGTATTTTTTGGGGCTGTTTCGTACATTCTTGGATAATGAAGTTTGGGGTTTTCTTTTCTTTCAAGCTCAAGAAAGCCAAATTGATGCGCTTTGAAAAGAAATTGAAAACAGGCTTCTCTGCTTCAAATTCTGCCAGGGTTCAAGCGTCCCGGGAATACAATGTCAAAGATAAAACTCTTCGAACCACCCTTAGAAAGTTTTATCCCTGAGTGACCAGGCTGAACAGGCACTCCACTGTGCCTTTGGGAGCCTGGGCTGTGCTGTATGTCCCTCTGATGAGCAAGGATATATATTATTTACTTATTGGCATCTTGGAACAAGCAGTACCTCTCTTAAGCCTTTTTATGGGTTTTGCCTGTAGCTTGTCCGGTGGGAAATGGATCTAATTTGTAGCGAAGACGTGCTGTACTGTCAGTATGTCAGACTGGCAAAGCAGAGCTGTACGTATGGTTTGCATTTCAGGTTGAATTGAAGCCATAGCTTAAACTGCAACATTTTTTTACAGCTTGGGTTCAGAGAAAGTCTCTTTGGAAAAGTATTTACCCTGGGCTTGTAAATACAGTATTATTTCTGCAATGTTCCATCATCTAGATTATTATAAAATTTACAATATCAACTGCCAGAAATAATACAGAGACTGTACTTGCACTTTATTTTCTTTTTATTGTTGATGTGGCAGGGAAATCCTGAACAGGGCTGGGGAAGGGAGCCTGTGGTGATCCTCGCCCAGCTTCACAGCGCAGGATTTCAAGTTTGGGGTGGGAAAGAAATGAAGCTCTAACTTGCAGTGCCCAAACCTGAGCTCACTGACAGAGAAGACAAAGTGGGTTTGGCCAATAATGTTTCCTTAACCATTTGGGCTGTAAACTGACTTGACATTAAAATCCTGGCAATCGTTACCATCCATTTGGCATCCATTGCTCTCCAGCTGTGGATTAAAAAGGATTTTTCCTGCAGTATTTCCAAGGTTCTCAAATGCCTCCTGCATGCACCCCTCCCCAGGATACTTGGATTTTTGGCAGCCAGGCTCTTTGCATGCCCAGAGATGGTGTAAGTGACCAAGGTTTATTATTGGGTGGATAACAAAAACGCTCACCCTGTAAATCCTTCATTCAGAAGAAGAGGATTACGGCGGGGGGGGGGGGGGGGG